TAAAATTCGGAACTTTCTAAAAACAATCATTTCAACTTTTCTAATTCTTTTGTTCAAAATAAGCGATATAAACATTCAAGAATCTCATTATTGTTCAGTAAACATGGAAACTATTACAGTATTTTGATAATCTTCTAACTGCTGCGGAAAGAAAAATTGTTGCCGGTTTATCGGAAACTTAAGATGAAATGCCATTACCAGCATTCTATAATTGGAGGTCATGAAACGTTGTAAGACACAAAAGGAACAGCTTTTACTGCATTTATAAGAAACTTACTAAAAGACAGAACAAAAAAAGAAACTCACTGGAGAGAGATTGTTGTCATCTTAAAAAAAAATAAAAAAAAGTAACTTGATAGACAGAGGTGAAGTGACCTTCAGCCTTAAACCATCATTTTAAAACGATAAGATTGACCGACTTTTTCTTCTTACACTCAAAACCAAAGTAGACGACAGCAGCAACAAAATGGGACGAACATAGAACGAAAAAGAACTTTGCGATTTTATGGTTGTATGCTTCTAAAACTTTTAACCTACTTGGCAACGTAAATACTTGTACCTTGAAGTAAATATATTGATTAATTTTAGCGAAACTTATAAAAACAATATTTGAGTAAAGCAACAGATTGCACGACAAAATATCGCCGTTTGAGCAATACAATTTCTGTTTACGATGACTGCAGATAACGCTTGAAGCACGTCAGTAGAATCACCAAACTACACGGATATTGCTGTAGAGTCGTCAGAAGTTTCATTTGAAAAAGTATTAGAATCCAAAGCCAATTCAAACGGTGACTAATCCAATGCACAAGTGCCAATCAGTCAACAAAATGCGATCCGACTGGAATCTGATATTCACTGTAGAACGCTATTTTGCTTAGTGGAGAGTATCGAAACAGTGGTGATTAAACGTCACAGGAGAAGGGAATCATAGTTTAACTTAACACATTTATAAAGTGGCTTCGTAAAACGTTGCATTGTTTATTTGAACTTCATTTTTTTTAGCATATTGGTTCTCTATTTTTTGTTGTCTTTCTGGCTTCGCAGTCTGTTAGCAGGACAATTACTGTCAATAAATTGCTTTTTTTTTTTTTTTTTTGAAACCCAAGTTTTAATTTGATTCGCTGGTAAATGGCTTTAATTTTCCTTTGGTCATCGTAGCCTGTCTTCATTCTAGCTTGATACACTCTGCACTATCTCCTCATTTTTCTCACTACAATCTCTTTGCCAGTCCCAACCCCGGTATTTGACTATCAGAGGAGGAGAGCATCATCCACACAGCACACAGATGGTTGAACTTTGTTGTTTACAAGCTAAAAACTGCGCGACCAGATGCCGCTACACTACCAGATACACTACCGTTACATCCATCCGTACAAATGTGGAATTTTAGCATATTTCGCATTCTCCGCCAAATTGATACGGGTTTTAAAGCACTGCTATGCAAAAATTTTTGCCAATCGTGGTTACCTTGTACAATCTTATTGTACACGAGATTGTACAGTGCAGCAGAACTTTGCTAAGAGCTTCTGTACTTCCGATACTAACTTGCTAACTGAGGAACCACTACAAAATAACAAGTGTTTCCTAAAGTTCGCCTTTTAGCGGATGCAAGTTACTATGATACTCGGTCAACCATCCCATCACTGTTATGCACATCATGTTTAGCCCCCATAAAAAGTGCAGGGAAAAGAGACAATACAGCATTTTGATACCAGTATTCTTGCCTTCGTGAATCATTTTCCTGCACAGCTTTACTCATTATGCATTACACTTAGGAAACTAAACTAAAAAAGAAATTGGCCAACAGCCGACGACAGGGCCATAGTAGCTATGAATAGAGTAATGCAAGAAACTTGGTAACTTGTAGAAAGTTCGCTTCTAATTGCTGTGCATTCTTGTTGTAGGTAAAAGGTAACTCATTTTGCTATTTTTAACATCTCACAAGCTTCTCCTTTTCCTGCAATTACCGAAATATTAATTTTTTAGTTTGTCAACTTTATTCTATCTTTAAAAATGTTGCCCACTTACGGGCATTTTAAAATTTTAAAAACTTGATACTTATGGAGAACTATTACGAAATATTTAGTGGCTAGCTAACTTCTAAATGTGGTTCTCTCTTTCCTTCAGTCTACTAACTCCCATTTTTGAACTTCCACTTATAAACGAAATATTTTCGTTGTTACCATAACGTGCAGCGCTACGCACAACGTAAAAAATTTGTATACTTGTTGCCTACGGTTGCAGAGGACACAAGCTTCTGAATCGGAGCTGAAAGCCAACACCAATTCACCTCTTCAAGAAAGCAATATTACAGTTTGCGGTGTACAATCTCAATGATTTTGACCAACACCTTTAGACACTACTTTTTACTTTGCTCTCCTCTCCAAGCACAAAATCAAAACGACCTACTGACTTCTCCAACACTGTTCAAAACCTAACCTTCAGAGTTCATCATCTTCATTTGTAAAGTTTTCCCACCGTGTCCTACAGACGACCTTATGTTGTTATACATGTGACGCTATTTTTCAGCCTCAAGATTAGAAAACAAACTTCAAAAAACCCAGTCACCTACAAAAGTTTTCTTAGAACTCAGTGATCCTTCAACAATTTCCATTTAAATTAAAAAATATGTGAACATATCCTGTAATACACTCCAATTTGTGTATAAGACTTTATGCTTTATTATCAAAGCAGTGCAGTAAAAAATTTTTGTTCAAAAAAAAAAAA